TAACTTAAAAGTTCGAACTTTGCAGTTCAATTCAGAACGTCAGAGTTCAGAATGGTAGCACTGTCAGTGCTCTCTCTCTCTCTCTCTCTCTCTCTCTCCCCCCCCCCCAACGGGCAGCAGCGGCGGGCGCCATGTCGAAACGGCCGCTTTGAAATTGCTCGGGCCTGTGCAAAACCAGCCACCTCAAAAACCTGCAGTGTCTTGGGTCTGGACCTCTAGTCCATGTCCGGTGGGGTGAAAGGACACTTAAAAATCACCCCGTTATTTTTCTAGAAGCGGCTAGGACCCGACAAACGTCCTGGGCCGCCCCATTTTTTTTTTTTGATTTTTGCCCCAGGGGCCTCCATCCGGACATGGGGACCAGACACCGGACGGACACCGGACTGTCTGGAACCCGGTCCGGACGTCCGGGCGGTTACCATGATAGGCATCCTACGTTGCCTGATTGGTAGGCAGCAAGGGTGACAGATGACTTCCCTGGTTGCTTGGTTTTTGGAAGATTGTACACCCCGCAAGTCAAATGTCACAGCCTAATTTAAAGAAAAAAGGAACAAAGCTAGGCTGTTTGGTCCGGCGCGCTGGCCAGCCAAATCTGCCTGGACAGCCAGGCCGCCTTTGCCTGGCCGTGTAGATGCGCCAGACAGGGTGCCGGGCAGGTTTTGATCCTTCGGCCACGGGTCTTTTTTTACACCGAGTGGCTAGCCTGATCCACTGGGCACAGTTCGCAGAGCTGCGGCGTGAGTTCAAACAGAAATTCCCGCTATTGTCATTCGGGGAGGCTTTTGTGAAGTGACAACGACGCTCGTGTGATTCTTAACATATCACATCGTGAATAATTGATATAATTCTGTTAACTCCCCAGTCTGTTTGAGTCTATTTTCTGTCTGCTTCTGTCTGGTTTCGTTTTGAGTCTATACGCCCATTTGAGCCTGTTTGATTCTGTTTCGAGTCTTTTTTATTCTGTTCTGTTATAAGTCTGTGTAATTCTCTTCTGAGTCAGTTTCAACTTTGAAGTCTGTTTGAGTCTGCCATGGGAATGTCTGAGTCTGTTTAAGTCTGTTTGAGCCTGTTGCAATCAGACTCGCTTTCACTTCCACTTCGCATACATGCAAACAGGTGGCGATTCACACTGGCCCAGTGCGCCTACTCAAAGCTCAGAGATATGGACAACAAGAACACAGGCAAACTCTGGCGCTTCAGCGCCGCCACACTGAACTCTCATCACTGTGCCCAACGCCACCCTTCGCACATACTCAACTCTGGATCACCCTGAATACCACCACACACACACTAAATCTATCTTCTTCCTATCGCGGCTATGGCCGCTCGACCTCTACTAACTATGGCTACGATCTCCCTCTTCAGCGCACTTCGTCTTCGGGCAACCTGCAGACCACCTTCGCACAAGACGCTGTAGCAGCGCTTCCGCATGGCTTACACAGCGAATGCATGAATTGCTGGGCGCTGCTCTTGATTTATACTTCTGTTTGCCGCTGGTCTGCCCCTTTCCACCAGGCCCTTGGTGCACACAGTCCCACACGGTACTTGCTGGACTGGACTGCGACTGACTGGGACTGGTACCGCTGACTGCCCGGGGTTGCACTGCCGCCTCGACGTAGTCGCACTGCCGACTCAGTGAAGTTGGGCTTACCACTTGCCCACTTGCCTCTGGCTAAACTTGAGACACTTTCGAAAGGCATCTTCCGAACCTTCCGGAAGTCTGTGGACTTGACCTTTCGCGTACTGTAGCAGCTACTGTAGCAGCTACGACCTCGACCTCTCAGAACACCTGCAGCTACGACCTCTAAAAGTTGTAACCTCTACTCGACAGACCTACAGATCGAACACCTACATCTACACAGACCTACAGCAGGCATACGCTCAACTACTGAAACACAGGTCACGGGTTCAAATACTCGGGGGGGTCAACTCGATACTGTACATGGGTAATGCGGTCTGGGGATCAAACTCTAGGGCCCGCATATATGACTGCAAAAAGGTGTAAAGTTGTAAACTGTTTCACTCCCGCCGGCCTAAATTCGAGGTCCTCAGAGAATACTTCAGTCTACGGCATGACCTTTACCTCTCTTGTCTCTTTCGTAAGTTCTGACTATGTCGGGAGCTGTCTCGAGAAGTTCTGTTCGCATGAACCAGCGGTCATCTTCTGGCTCTTGAAAGGAAAATCTGACTTTGTACTGTTTATGTGGACGACCTCTACCTCCTGTCCTGAAGATGTCCTCACCTACTATACCATCAATGTTGTATCTTCCATCCATATTTGGAGGAATCATAGATCTACGTGATGGAAACTGTTGACTTGTAACCCAAGGCAACAGTTTTGGCGCATGGAACACTGGGTAGGTGTGGAGGTGTGCTGGAGGACGGCCCATCCTCTCCGCCCTTGACTTCTAAGATTGGCCACGATCCTCTATACGCAGGCAGTAATTTCTGTGAGATGTTCTCCTCAGGAGCAAACTCCTTTGACTTGACCCAGACTAAGTCGCCTACTTGAAACTGTCATGGGTGACGGTGCTTGTTAGCTTGTTCTATCATTCTGTGCTGGGCTTTCCTGAGGTTATCTACAATGGTAGCTATCTCTTTCTCGTGCTGTATTGCAAACTCCCGTGTACCGGGCGGTAATCTCTGAATCTGATCCCGGTTAAGTCCCTCAAATGGTCTGCACGGTCTAAAGGACTTGTGCAGTTTGTTGGGAGTGCGACATGTGGACAAGTGTACGCTGTTATTGTATGCACTAGCTACCTTTGGGAGCATCTCATCCCAGTTGATCTGGTCGGGCCTAATGTACATTCTAAGAACTTGCTGCAGGAGCTTGTTCATCTGTTCAGTCTGACCGTTAGTCTCTGGATGACGGCCAGATGGCATCAACAACTTGGAACCATAAACTCTCATTAGTTCCTTCCAGTTCTGATTGGTGAACCTGGTAGCTCTGTCGCTAACTATCTACAGTGGTATACCATGATCACTGACCCAATGGTCAAAGAATTTCTGGACTACTAAATCTGTTTGCGCCTCTGCAGGCATAGGAATGAAAACTGCATACTTACTAAACCTGTCAACTATGACCATGACTTGACTTTTGCCATGCCTACTCTTGACCCCAACATCTATAAAGTCAATGGATACAAAATCTCCAGGTCTGTCAGGAATAGGCAAGGGTTTGAGAAGACCAAGAGGGGCTCGCGTAGTAGTCTTGTTTCTCTGATAGACTTCACAACTACGCACGTACTTTATGCAATCGGCCTTCATTCCAGGTCAGGTATACGCGTGCATGAGGTTGGCTAGTGTCTTTTGCCAACCGAAGTGTCCCTCTGTGTCGTGGCATTCCCCTAAGATCAAACTACGGATCTCCTCACTGTTGGGAACGCACAGACGGTCAACTACATTAGTCTTCTCGAATGGTAACCCATCAGTAGTGCAGTAATCTGGTTCAGACTCTGGGGCCTCCCTAACCCTCTTGAGGAGGTCACTATAGATAGGGTCTTGTGCATATGCTTCTCTAACTTTCTGCTGCAGGTCTCTCCCTATATCGAGATATTGAACTATTGCCCCAAAGTAATCAACTCTCCTACAAAGCGTCCGCTACTACATTGTACTTCCCTTTGACTGGCTTAAGTTCAAAGTCATACTGATCTAACTCTGCGGCCCACCTAGTAAGCTTAGGTGTCATCGTGGCCTGTGTTTTCAACCACCTTAGTGTCTCGTGGTCGGAATAGATTGTGAAGTGCCTCCCAAGCAAGTAATGCTTCCAGTGCTCCAATACTTGCCTGAGAGCGTAGATTTCCCTTTCATAGGTGGATGTCGCTACCTTCTTTGAAGGCATCCTGGCTGACATGAACTCTACGGGCCTATAACCATTGCCATCGTCTTGCTGTAAAACAACACCTATGCCATACTGACTTGCATCGGTGTTAACAACAAAAGGTAGGGACGAATCATCTACCTTAAGGACCGGGTACTCTATCAAAGCCCGCTTTAACTTCTTTAGGGCTAATGTACAGTCCTTGTCCCACTTCTAGATTGCTTCTTTCTTTAGCAACCTGCGAAGTGTGCAGCGATGGTGGAGAAGTTCCTGACAAACTTCCGATACTAGTTAGCTAAGCCTAAGAACGACCACAACTCTGTCAGTGTGCGGGGCGTTGGCCAATCTCTAATTGATGTTATCTTGCTATCTTCAGATTAGATACTCTCTGTCTAAGACGTGGCCCAAATACAAAACTTGTATCTTTTGGTCCATTCACACTTCCTTGCGTTGATCTTGATGTCAGCTTCTGTAAGCTTCTCCAAGACCTGCCTCAGATGACCCTCATGCTCCTGGCGGGTCTTGCTAAAGACTAGAATATCGTCCAAATACACTACCACGAATCTATCTAACCACGGCCTAAACATATTATTCATACAACGTTGGAAAGTCGCTGGCGAATTGGTTAGTCCAAAGGGCATAACTATGTGAACTCGTAGTGGCCATATCTAGTTCGGAATGCTGTCTTATACTGATGATCAGGATGAACCTCTATCTGATGATAGCCAAACTTCAAATCTATCTTCGAGAAATACTTGCAGCCCTGCACCCGATCCAACAGATCATCTATACGGGGCAGTGGTTTTGCATTCTTTGCTGTGACAATATTGAGACCCCTATAGTCTATACACATTCTGAGCTGTCCCTCCTTCTTGGGGACAAAAAGAACAGGTGCTCCAAATGGAGATGAACTGGGCCTAATCCAACCCTTCTCAAGGAGCTCATCTAATTGTTTGCGCAACTCCTCTAACTCCCTTGGGGACATTGTGTAGATGGCTCCTTTAGGAGTCCTAGTGGCAGGCTCTATCTGTATGCTATGTTGAATTGGCCGCGACACTACTCCTGTAGGCGGCTTAACTAAATCTGTATATTCTTCCAGTAGCTTGGCAATAGCATGGTCTATGGCTCTCTTCTTTAGGCTCAGTGACTGGCCTCACGTAGGCTACAAATACTTGCTCTTCTAACTGTTCCTTCTTTACGAAACGTGCGAAAGCGGGAACACTGAGACATCAATGTGCCAAAGAGTTGTCTACTCTTGACACATGAAACAGGCGAGCAGTCTTAACTTCACTTGTGGGACTAGGGAGCCTACACTTGTGCTCTCTCAAATGGAGTGTGGCCCCTGCTGCCTCTCCCAGTCCATTCCTAGGACTATATCGAAAGGAAGGCTGTCTTCTACGAGGAGAGTCAGGGAATGGAGAACTTTTTCCACCTTCCCATCTTTCTCTAGGTGAAAGTACGCCTGGACTCCTCAACATAATCCTCGACTTGCATAGTGCGATTGTCTGCGAGGATACTGACTAAAGGGTCTTCGAACTTTTGGACTTCCAAACTCAGCTTCAACTTCTGTAGCGCTTTTCTACTGATACAGCTGTAGGTGGCCCCACTGTCTATAAGGGCCCATACTCTACCTCTGAATATCTCTACATCTACTAAAACTAGTTGTCCTTTCATATCCTTTTTCATCTTGGCCCAGGCAGACATCTTCTCCTTAAACTCTTCAGCCACACTTGTGAGGGAAGTACCTAGAGAGACTCTAACACAAGCAGTCTTTGGACAACTATCTAGGTAATGGCCAGCAACCTCTGCCGTAGGCTCATGTGGTTTGGGAGTTCCTCTGTGGTGCGCGCACTCTTCGCCACATGGCCCAGGGGTAAGGGCAGTTGCAACCCCTACCGACAATTGCCTTTTGCTGCTTGTGCAGCATACCGGGCTTCTCTATACTTTGGACAATATTTAATTATGTGGCCAGGCTCACTGCAGTAAATGCATTGATCCTGGTCCACACGACGGTGCCATACGGACTGGTCCAAGCCCAGGTCTTCCCATGGCTTGCCCTGTGGCAAGCCAGGGTGCCATCCACCTCTCTTTGGAGGTGACCGATAAGATCGTGAGCGGTTTGGCGGGGGACCTTGACCCCTACCTCCCTCTTGGCGGTTTACCCTGTTGCCAACCCCCTGAGCGCCCTGTCCTCGGCCACCTGAGGCCCGACCCCCTTGGCCCTGACCTCCTCCTTTTCCTTGCGGCCTCCCTCCAGCCGTGACGACGGCGTAGGTCCTCCCCTGACCCCCACTACTATCCTCCTCCTCCAGGCCCCACTCAATCTGGCTATACGGGACCTCGTCCATACCACCCTCGTCCAAAGTAAGGGTCAAATGATCCTTGGCCCTAACTTGACCTGAGATGGTACGACCCTTCCACTTTTTGCCCTTGTCTAAGTCCTTGTGCCAAGAAGCGAAAATTGGCATGGACTGTGCCTCGAACAGTACCACCTCTCTACTCAACGTATCATATGTCATGGTGGCCTGTCGGCTCTTTTCAAAGAAGTGTACCCGTAGGGGCTCTGACATGGCACGATAGAAGAGGTTGACCAACTGGGCCTCAGTGACCCCATGGTCTGGGACGACCACTAGCTCATCCATAACGCCTTTGAGTGCCCTTGCACTCCTCCATTGGCGTGAGTGGATAGTTTGCAGTTTGTCAGAGGCCCTGATGCCTCGCGTGACATATGTAAATCTCTCCTTTAGCAGTTTAAGGAATTCAGGGAGAGGAGTGATTTTAGAATACGCTACCATTTCGCATTGTGCAGCGTGAGCGAGGGATCTGGCGAAGCTAGCCACTTCGTCTTTGAGAGCCTGGAAGGCAATGAGGACTTGTTCCTTAGGCACAATGTGCTGTAAATAGACGTACGTGTTGATATTCTCCTTCCAGTTATGGAAATTGTCTTCCTTCTTCCCTCTGTAGGGTTCAAGAAACTTTATCTTCGTGGGCTCTCTACTGGGACGTACCTCCTCCTTTGGAGTGGCCAGCTTTGCGCCCTCAATGGCGCCTGTGCCAAATTTCTCCGTGCCCTCTTTCCTCGCCTGCATCTCTGCACCTACGTGTAGCATCATCTCACGTGCGAAATCCTTGAATCCCAGACGAATGGAGTGTAACGCAATATTATGGGCTCTAGCAAATTGATGTTGCTCTTCCCAGGCTCTATCTAGGAGTTCTATATTTCTTGAAACAACATCTAATTTTCCATGTATATCTTCTTGCGCCTGGATCTCCTCCCTCTGTGTCTTTATCACCTCCAACTCCCTCACCATTTTGCTTGCCTCATCCATCCTCCTCTTCTTCTCCCTAGTGAGAGGCAGCTTCCACTAACTTCTTCCCCTCCTCTATAGTCTGACGTCTCAAGGGGTCCTTTTCTGCCTCCCACTCCCTGATAACTGCTTCCTTCTCCTCCGGGGGAACATACAACATGGCTTCTTCCTCTTCTCCCATAGACAAATTTGCTACGCACTCAGAGATCTTTTTCTCCATCCATGAGTCCCCCTTCTTTGTGCCACTGGACTCCCCTCTCTGCTCTGCGCTTCTTCGGAGCAAGGACTCTTCCTTTTCCTCCTCTTCTACCTTTTCCTCTTCTACAACTTTCATCTTTTTTTCCTCCTCCTTCAACAATCTCTCCATCTCTTCCTCCAACTTCTTCCTCTTCGCCGCCTGCTCCTCCTGTAGGGCCAACTTTTTGGCCTATCTAGTCTACTCCTTGGTCTCTTTCTCTTTTCTCTCTTGCAATATGGCGGCGGCTTGCTCTTCCTGAGCTTTCGTGTAAGGGGTGGTACTCTTTCCACTCCGTAGGTCAACCATGGTGAAGGTGCACAACCTAGAATCAGTTCCACTCCTCACCACTTAGACTCACACCCCTGACTGACTTAACTTAGGACTGACTCAATCTAAGGACCACAGAATCTTAGCAAGATTCTGTCAACTAGGGTCTCTAGCCTAGACCTAAACTAAGGCTGTCACTACAGGACTTACTGCTGATCAAGAGGCATTTAAGGAGATCCCCCGTAACTCCTCTGGAATTATTTAACTTCGCAAACTGGACGACGCGATCAGCAAGTCCTCTCAAGACTTAGACAGCTTGTTGTGAAGCCCACAGCTCGGATTTTGGGCCTACTGTGCCACACCGAGCAGCCCGCCGGTCTGTACCGGTCCTTGGGAGGGTTCGTGTCCTTCGGGTCAGTCGAGTCGTCAGAC